AAGGGATGACCTACATGGAGCTCAGAGAGTGCCTGGTGAAATGGGACAGAGCTCAACAACGCTGGTCGCACCTTGTCTCAACAGATGACAGCGCAATGGAAGTTGACAGAATTAATTGAGAAGGGTAAAGGAAAGAAGGGCACCAAAGATGGAAAAGGTAAGAACTCTTCCAAGGGCAAGTCCAACAGCGGCTACAACAAGTCCAAGGGCAAGGGCAACTCTCAGAACTCTAGCAAGGGCAAGGGCAAGAAGTCCGATGGAAAGGGCAAAGGCTATTCCAATTCTTCTTGGAATTCATGGCTCTCAGACAACAAGGGGAAGGGCAAGCAATCTTCCAACAACGATGTCAGGTGCTGGAAGTGTGATGGATAAGGACACCTCGCACGAGATTGCAAAGTACGTGCTGTTCAAGAAGAGCATGTGCAGCCTGAAGCTTCCCCTCAGTCAACTGTGGCCAGGACTCCATCAGCCTCAACTCCTTCAACACCTGCCCAAGGAGTTCAGTTTCGAGTTGCACGCATCATGCAGGATGATACCAGCCATGTCAGAGCAGATGTTCCAGTGTTTGACATGCGGGAGCAATATAGCAGTGAGGAGAGTGCCATCAGGGTCGTGAAGTTCTACATTGGAGATGAGGGTGAAGAGTTTGATGAGATACGTGTTATGATTGAAGAAGTTCCCCCTCACAATGACTCCAACGACCTGACGCCGATCTTGATTGACTCTGGAGCTGATACTGCAGTCTTTCCTTCAAGTTGGATACATGCTGGAACTACAGCTGGCTCTCAGGCACGACGTCTTCAAGATGCTCAAGAAAATTTGATCCCTACAAAGGGACGCAGAGACGTAGAAATCTTCCTGCCTGACTTGCATGGAAACCGAGTTTGCCTTCGAGAAAGGGTGACAATTTCTGATGCAGTCACCCAACCCATTCTTTGCTATGGACGTCTCATGCAGCAAGGATGGGACCTCAACGCGGCAGACCAGACACTGCGCCATGCTGGCTATGGAATCTCAATTCCCTTGGAGATGCAGAACTGTTCCTTGGCAGTACAAGGATCCATCAGGATGATTTCAGAACGACCACACCATGTGCGCCTGATGAAAGCCATGCTAGATGAGCACCTTACAGATTTGCCCCATGGTTGGAGCAGACGACATGGTCTTCTCATTGGATTCCACATGAGCAAGAACTTCATCAATCGTTTGATGTATGACCCCAACCTTGTGGAGCATTACAGAACCACGCTCATTCAGTTTGAAGATGGCCATTGGGAGTTGATTGAGATATGCGAGCGCATCAGTGGCTTGGTCTTTGAGGACAACGAGTTTGAGGATGGTGGGATGAGGAATGTGATCACTATCTGCACCAGTGACTACACCCCACCTGAAGATATGGGCTTTACTTTGGAAGGTGAATTGAACTTTGAAGCTGGACGCCAAGATGAGATGCAAGAAGCTGAGATGGAGGTTCCTATTGCCCCTGACGAAGATGCGGTGGTTGAAAGTGCAGCTGTTCAACATCAACCTGATGCTCAAGAGAGCGCTGAGCCCATGGACCAGATTGTGATAGAAGGTTTTGATCCTGAAGGGATTGTTGTGAACGGAGTGGAGCTGAACCGTGAGAGCTCATTGAAAGCTTTGAGACAAGCTTGCAGTTTCCACAACATATCTATATCTGGTTCCAGGGTGAAGTGCTACAAGCGCCTTGTGAACTACATGAAGGCCCAAGAACTTGAAGCTGCACAAGAAGCTGCGTCTATGTCAGAGAAGATGCACTATAGAGATCCTCTTGTGCAGGTTGAGCCCAAGAAGCCTTCAGATGCAGAGGTGGCCAAGCACAATCTGACCCACATCCCTTTTCAGAACTGGTGTCCCCATTGCGTGGCTTTTCGAAGTCGTCCAGATCGTCATGAACGTAACGACCTGGCAAAAGATGCTCAGTTTCCCACTATCTCCTTTGACTTTTGTTTTACAAAGGCTGTTGGAGATGGAGAAGATGACAAAACAGCAGCCTCAGCAATGTGGATGATGATGTGCGATAACATGACAGGGTATGTGGGATGCGTTCCATTGAGAAGCAAGAATCAGGTGAAACTTGCAGTTTGCGAGCTGATGGCCTTCACCCAGAATGCTGGTCATCATGCAGTCACATATCTATGTGACAATGAGCCCAGTGTGCGTTCCATCCTCAGAGCCCTCATCAACGCTCGCCACTCTCTTGGACTTCCAACGAGGATTCAGACCAGCAAGGTTGGAGATCATAGCAATGCTTTGGCAGAAAACAGTGTTGCCAGGATCAGACAGTTGGCAGGTTCCTACATGGATCAGCTCCACACTCACCTCAACATGCGCATTGGCACCACCAATGGACTATGGTCTTGGGCTGCAAGACATGCATGGACGTTGTCACGATGCAAAGCTGTAAGAGGTGCAACACCCTATGAGCTGGTCTATGGAAAGCCCTATGTTGGAACCTTGCTTCAATTTGCAGAACCTTGCTTTGCTTATGTGGCGACTGCGGCCAAGGGCATGAAGAAGTGGATCAAGGGTATCTTTCTTGGCAAGACTGAGGGTCAAGATGCTTTCATCGTCTATGATGGCAGCAAAGTGCTTTTGATGAGATCAACAAGGAGGATTTCACAGTCCTGGGGCTTGAGCTTGGCCTACTACAAGGACTTCATGTCCAACCTACGACTTCCAGACTGGCTTTGGGGCACGTATTGTCCCCACGAAGCGTGAAGCGCTTGCACTTCCTGCTTCAGATGCCTGGATTCCTCTTGAAGCAATTGCTGCAAAGGCCAAAGACCCTGACGCTGAGGCCGTGATCAAAAAGGCGATAGAAGAAAGCCGTGAGGAGAAAGAACTTGAGATGATGGGCAAGTTTGACAAACGAGATCATGTGGTGATGGCTGAAGATGATGTTGAAGCTACACCACAAGCACCAGTGGAGGAAACCCCTCCTGTTCCTATGGCGATTGCTGTGCCATCAAACCCTGAAGGAGCTGGTGCTGAACCTTCTTTAGTGCCACAGATGAGCCCCCCATCTCAACAACCAGAACCTCATTCATTGCCACAGAGGAGCCCCCAACTTCCACAACAGCGCTTTTCAGCCCTTCCACTTTTGGCTGCAGCTAGCGCATCTTCCAGCGCTACACCAGATGAGCCACGTTCACCACCAACGAGGCGTGGATCTACAGACGAGGGCGGCTTGCCAAAGAAAGCCAGAACGCTTCCAGTGAAGAAACCCAGAGTTGAGAGAATTGCAGAGGAGATGGAATCCAAGATCAGGACCATAAAACTTGGAGATGAGGAGTTGTTCACCATGGATGAGCCTGAAGTCAATCCAGAGGACTTTCTTGAGGAGGAACTTTCTTTTGATGAGGACGCAGATGTTGAAGAGATCCCAGCATGTTTGTGGCGCGATGGAACCCAATATGAGAAGCCACAAGAACCTGGGAAAGAAGTTGATGAAGTTGCAGCTGAAGTAGAGTTGAAGCGTTTGATGAGCCTCAATGTCTTGCGGGATGCTCAGCCTTCAGATGATGGCATCCAAAGGACTTTGACAACACGCTTCGTCTATGATTGGAGATGGAAGCCAACTGGCAAAGCAGAAGGTGGACAAGATCCCCAGTTCAAATGGCTGCGCAGAGCACGCCTAGTTGCAAGGGAATATGCCTTTGCAGAAGGGAAGAGGGACGATGTTTTTAGCCCAGCTTCGAGCAGTCACCTTCTCAGGTTGCTTCCAGCTCTATACCTTTGCAAGACAGCTTTGGATGACTTCCCAGGAGATGATCCCTACGTTTTGGGGAGCTTGGACATCAAAGACGCCTTCCTTCAAGTAGATCAACGTGAACCACTGCGATTGAAAATGCCATCAGGCGACCGCATAGTGATGAAGAACTTACCTGGCCAGAGAGCTGGTGCCAAGGATTGGTTTGATCACATCAGCAGATTCCTTTGCGCCAAGGCCGAGGTCACTCAATGCTGCTTGAACCCTTGTTTGATGCGCGGCGAAAACATTGCAGTTTTGGTGCACGTTGATGATGTGATGCTGCTTGGAAAACGCAACTATGTTGAAAATGTCTTCCTGCACCTGCTGAAGTCCCAGTTTGACCTCAGCTGCTCTTTGATCAAGGACGTGGGAGATGAGTTTACGTTTTTGAAGAGGACATACAGGCTGACCTCACATGGCCTGATCATTTCTGATCATTTCCCCTGGCAACTATGTGCCAAAGATGCTGGAGATCTTTGAAGAGAACTATGGCAAGGTGAAGATCAGCAAGGTCCCAATAGACCCCAACATGCTGGTGGAGGACAAGTCAGATGAGCTCAATGCCTATGACAGTGGCATCTACCGGTCTTTGGTAGGCATGGGACTTTACCTTGCGCAAGAACGATATGATATCGCCTATGCCATCAAGGAGCTCTCTAGCAAAATGGCAAAACCAACGAAGTCCTCAATGTGTGGCCTACGCAAACTTTTGGGCTACTTGCGGCAGACGAGTTGGTATGCTGTGCTTCTACCAACACCTGAGCCTGGCCGTGGAAAGATCGCCCATGTGGACAAGCACTTCATTCTCGAGTCATACAGCGACAGTGATTGGAGTGGGCACCAGGCCCATAGGAGGTCAACTTCCTCAGCAATCCACTATGCGAACTCCTGTCCAGTGTTTGCTTCAGCGCGCACCCAGCGCGTAGTTTCATTGAGCAGTTGTGAGGCAGAATTGCACGCATTAGTGAGTGCAGCAGGAGACGGCAAGTACATAGCAGGATGTCTCTCCTTTCTTGCCGGCTGTGAGGTGGAACACCATGGCTATGTTGACAACGCCTCAGCCAAGTCCCTGGCCAACAAGCGTGGAGTTGGGAAGGTGCGCCATTTAGCGGGAAAGTTGCTTTGGGTGCAGAATTGCACAGCAGATGGTTCTTTGAAAATTTCCCAGATAGGAACTCTTTTCAATGCAGCTGATTTAGCAACCAAACCTCTTAGCATTGCCCGCATGCGCGCCCTGATGTTTCTTTGCAACATCGTGAATCTGGAGCATGGCTTCGAGATGGTCGGTGAAGATGAGTTCGAGATTCTGGTGAAGCGAGATCAGTTTGGAAAGAGTGTGACAAAGATGGCCAAGATGCTCTTTCGAATCGGCTTTGCAATGGAGATGTTCACTGGAGCAGATGGTCTTTCTATCGATGATGGTATGTGCGCCATGGATGAGGCTCCAGCAACTACATCATTGAGTTTGTGGACACCATCGGGCTTTGCACTGGCATTTGCAGTTCTCACAATCATTGCGGTGTTTGGCTGGATGGGATGGATGATCTACAAACTGCAGAAGAAGCTGAACTTGGTGGAGATCAAGGTCAACGCGGTTTCTGGATTCAACCTTCCAAGGATGGAATCTGAACACATGGAGCTGCTTGGTGACCATGCTGACCTGAAGAATGCCGTGGAGAAGGTCCAGATCTTCTCAGAGAATCTATGGGGTAGTCTTGTTGAAGTTGGTGGCTATATGGCTGACCATGAGACAGCGCTATCAGATGAGCGGCGTGGAGAGTTGGAACAGAAGGAGGCCGAGAATCAGGAGATCGCAATGCAGGATGATTCTTCTGATGAGAGATTGCTGTCAGTGCAGCGTTCCATCATGAGGATGCACAGGCGTTTCTTCGAGATGAGCAAGCTCTACACGCACCTATGGATGGGGCTTGTGCGCCTTGGTGGATTCATTGGCAGCAACACCATATAACTGGTGAAGCACATTCCGATCTTGTTGGCCGCAACAATGAGATCATGGAGGCATGGCAAAGGCAGGGCCATTCAAACCTTCTTGGCCGCCGCCGCCATGATACCCCACCTGGCGGTACTCCAAGGATTGCAGCTGTTGAAGAAAGAACTGAAGGAGATGAATCAGAGACGATGGAGCATCCAGATGACTTCATCGATGAAGATGATACAGCCTATGGAGCACCACCGAGTGAGACAGAGCCTGAACCCCATGGAGCATCAGATGAACCTATGGAAACATCTATGGCTGAGATGGAACCTGATGATGAGGCAGAACATGGCCTGATCAGTGAGCAGATCGAGCTGGCAAACAGACTGGAGACTTTGCGTAGGGAGCTTGAACAGCGTATGCAAGATGCTAGTTTGGTAGGTGACGAATTGGAAGCCAATAGTCTCCGTTTGCAATTGGCTAACGTTGAGAATCTCCAATATGGCCTACCACGTCCAACCATTTAGGCACATCCAGGTGGATTTTTGTGCCAACTTTCAATGCATGTCATGTTTCAAGTGCAGTGACCTGAGCGATGACCTTTGCTCATGCCACTGAGGAGGAGTGCGTACTTTGAAACACAGCACTCATGCATTCCATCATGGTTGTGACTAAGAGGAACTCTTTGCACTTTGGACCATGAGTTAATGCAGTCTCACGTGTGGACATTCAATCATGTCGATAGTCGAACCGACTAGCCCCTTTGGTTGGAAAATCTTCGCAAAAATTGAAGAAAACCATTGACAAGTGAAAGAAAACCATGGAAGAATTGAAGAAAACTATGGAAAATTGAAGAACAACATAGAAAAAATTGAAGAAAACCTTTGTAAAATGAAGAAAACCATGGAAAAATTGAAGAAAACCATGGAAAATTGAAGAAAACCATGGAAAAATTGAAATAAACCATAGAAGAATTGAAGAAAACTATTGAAAATTGAAGAAAACCACGGAAAAATTGAAGTAAACCATGGAAAAATTGAAGTAAACCATGGAAAAATTGAAGCAAATCATGGACAAACCAATGAAAACGATGGAAAACTCGATAAAAACCATTGAAAAAATCCTGAAACCAGTCGAAAAATTGATGAACAGCGCGAATGAGAAAACCATTGCAACCATTCCAAAAAACACAACTCCAACCAGTTTTCGGTCCATCAGTGGATTCGCTTTGCAATCCGTGGGTCACAACAACCAAATTCTCCTATGGGTTTCCTATTTTTGAAACTTCCGCCACCGCCTTGTGCGGTACTACTGGTATATGATGTTATTCATATAGCGCTTAGAATATACGTTCTACAAATTTTTAGTGGGCACAAGGTGGGTTGCTGTGTTTTGCATCTGTTTTTTGAGGGTGCTTAATTGTTGTTTTCCCGCAAGTAAGCAGCACACCTATTCTGCATTTTAGCGGTTTTTTTCGGCATCCTCTTGCGCAGGCCGCTTCCTATAGCCACTTCCAGGAGGCAGGCCTTCCTATGGTTGGAGCCTTTTCAAGAGTCACGTGGGATTTGCTCGCTGGAGGCATCTGTCTTTGGTGACAAGGAGCAAGGGTTTTTCCCAAAAGCATTCTGGGAATCCTTAAGTCCCTTGCTGCCGCCGCAGATGGAAAAGTGAAATAACTTCCTCCTGGTATCTGGCTGATAGTGCCGTCCGCCATTGGATCCTGTGCAGGCCAGAGTCAGTAAGTAGGCACTTTCAGGAGGCAAGTGTTCCTATCGCTGGAACCTTTTCAGGGGTCGCGTAGAATTCCTGCGGTGGAAGCCGTGCAGACCACAGCCCGTCGCCACTTTCAGGAGTCAAGCCTGCCTATAGCTGGAACGGTTTTTCAGCAGCCACCGTGAGATGTGCCATGACATGTGATCACAGCCATGATCTTGGGGACATCGCCTTGCACGGCCGTGCCACAGCCTGGACACCTCAGTCATATATCCAAAAAGTTCCACGAAATCATCCTGGTGCTTCAAGTGATGTGCAGAACGATTATGATGAAATGCTGACATTCCTCTCCCGCCTGAAGATTCTCCTCCGGGCCAGGAAAACGATGTAGCATATCTGAGGCCTTAAAGCAGCATTGAATATGTTCGATGTGGAAACTGGGGAGACCTATTTTTTAAAGAAACAAAACATGGTGTTTCACAGGTTTCACAGTTTCACCCATCAAGTTCAAATTTCCGGTGTTTCAATCGTTGGGAATGGTCAAAGCCAGGCTGCAAAGCTTCCAGACTGAGGCAGGGTACTGAGGCCGGGGTCGATCCACACATGAACGACAAGCCTGGCCAATGGGGCAATCGAATGCAATCGAGCCATCCAGGACCAGATGAAATCTGTGAATTGTCTATTAAGCATCCAAAAAAGTCAGAAAATGTGATTCCAAAATCTCCAAAAAAATGACAAAGTGGAATCCTTCACTGCAACTCCCCGATCCTTGTTCCCGCCCGTGTCCCTGTCCAAGGAGCTCGGCAGCAGGGAAGGTACTCGCCTCGAGTGAGCAAACCATCTTAGCACCTAAAAGATCCAACGTCGTGTTTTGGACACGTTTTGCTGCAAATGACACGGTTCACTTTTTGGCGGCGTGCTTTGTAGAAACGGCGTCTTTTGCATTACAAGGCGCACATTTTCGCAACAATGCGCACGTTTTTCGCACCAAAGCGCACGTTCGAAAAACAAGCGAGGCGAACGGCGTCGTTTGTAGAAACGACGTCCAAAGTACACGTTTGGAGCCTCTAGGCATGTCATTTTACATGCATCTCTACTTTCACAACTCTACTTTCAGTATCTTTCAGTATCTTTCAATGAAGCGGAATTCAGTGTCCTTGAACAGCCTTGAGTTCACGAAGAGCCAGTTTCCTTCAGTGCCCCTGCCATGTCACAAAGGGATGTCACATGCAAGTGACATCCGAGTGACATCTGAATGACATGCAAGTGACATGGGTAGATTCCGAGTGACGGCGGCAACAGTGGTGGTACAGTGGTGACACAAAGCAGCGACACAACGGTGACCGTCGCAGTTGCAATGGAAACAACAGCAAATTCCAAGGCCAGCAATAATCTCATTTGGTTTCATATGATTTCATATCCCAACGTTTTCTAACAACTTCCGGGTCACCAGCAGGTCACCGCTGTCACCAGGGTCGCCAGCATCGCCACTGGATGGGCACTAGCCCAGGGTCACCAGCTTCGCAATCAGGCTTAGGCGCTTGACTTCGGTCGCAACAGGTCGCCGCGGTCGCAGTTGCGCAAGTTGCGCAAGTTGCCGTTTTCATGGCAACAGCCGCAACAGCCGCAACAGCTGCAGTGCAGGCAGCATTGTCCACGACGTTGCTGTGGCCGTCGGCCGTACATGGGCAACATGGGCAACGTACGGGTGACATCAGCCGCGTTTTGGAACTTTGGTTCCAGCGCCAGCCATGGAGCCATGGAACGCAAGAGATGCTTGGCGTGGCTGGGTATAGTGTGTCGAGTGTGTGCACGCATCACTTGCATTCCTGGTTCATGCGGTCGTTTGCTGCCTGTGAAATCAGCATCATGGACCATATGAAAGTATTTGACATGTCCGGCCCAGACCTCTGCATCCATGTGACTTGTACATTTTACGGGCATCTTTTGTCTGAGTGAACATGGACGTTCAGTGAACATGGATACGGGCATCATTTGTCTGAGTGAACATGGACGTTGAGTGAACATGGACGTAGGTTTGACTTCGTCTCTGGTCACGCATCAGGCCAATATCTGTGAAATCTGCGTCAAAGGCCCTTTTAAAATACGCAGGTCAGACCTGCGCTGTGTTTCTTCATTCGCTGGCCAAGTCCAACGGTTTGAGGTGAAGCAATGAACGGCCGGTCATGCCATTTATGTTTGTATCAGTTGGATTGTCTTGCATCGGATTGCGGCCTGACCTTTGCCGTGGAAGTTGCTGCGCGCAAACATGATGTAGTGCTCCACAAGGTCAAGAGGGTTGACATGTTCCAAGGGTTCCATGATAAGAATCAGAAGGCACAATTGGCGGCCTTATTGATGCCAAAGCCAAGTTCATCACTTCTGAGAGCGGATTGAAGCCCATGAAATCTGTGAGCTGCATCACGCTGGAGTAAGAGAGGGCATTGTTCGCCTTGTTTTGTCAGCCCGTGCTGCCCAGCAGCCTGTGAAATTTGATTTTGATGAGCCCCAAAATTGCGATGCAACTTGCTTGGGCAAGGTAGTGTTCCAGGGGAACCATCAAGTATTGCGCCTGAGTCCATTGAGGTTGCCAACTTTACCCGGTTCTGGTCGCTGAATTTAGCCTGCTGCTCATGAAGCTAGATTGTGACAAGTTCTGCGGGAGGGAGGCTGATGACAGGTCAAGGTTGAAGACTAGCTGTCACACGCCGTCGCGACGATAGTTGAGGGCGTTCCACATTTGACTTTGGGAGTCTTTCAAGCCAGCGACTCTCCTGTGTGTTCTTGTGCAGGTCCTGCATTCAATGAGCGACGGCTCTTTCAACTTCATTCAGCCTGCGCGCCATGATACTTGTATGTGATTAATGTGAGTACATGCAAGCTACGCATAGCTACGCGCAAAGCCCTTGCCATAATAATGTTGCTGCCAGTTTTCTCTGTTTTCCCATCTCGGAGATTCTGCATGGTTAGGAAGTGGAGGCCTTTGGCAATTTCGCTCACTGCGTTGCGTGGTTTTGTTGACTGGCTCCCCCCAGGACGAATGCGCCCTGCCTTTTTTTGATGTCCAGTCTCCCCATGATGTCGTTGATTTTGAACTGTCAACATGGTCGAAGTAGGGTCCCCGATATACCCGGGCGCATTTTGTAACATACCATATAGCCCTGCCGCAGCGCATGCCTACCCATTTTCCTTCTGAAAAGCAAAACTGCAACATGGCTGTAGGGATTCCATCATAGTAAAAATTGTACAGGAGCGGGCCTTTCAGATTTCAGAAGCAGCTAATTGACGCCAATGCTCTCAGTGCCGTGAAAATGTTTCCTGCCCGTGTTAAATCTCGCATGAATGCGGCGGTCACACACATGCAGGGACTGGATATGACGTTGCATGACTTGGCCCTTGCAGCCAGCAGGCCTTTGTGTAGCACGCTCTGTACTGCTGGATAAAAATCTGGCACACAGGGGTTTGGTTCACTTTTGCGTGTCCATTGCGCGCTGCTCTAAGACACAGCATTGCTTGGCCACTCATTTGCTCCAAATGAGGCCTTGGCTCAATTTCAGTTACGCTACAGCGCGGAGATTGATCAAGTTGGACAACATGAGTTTCCATGTCGGTCATGTGTTGTAGGAGCATTTTGCTGGAACTCTTTCAAAGCCCGACCTTCCTGTCATGATCCTTCAAATCTCATGTCTCAAAGTCTTTCGGTGTCTCAGAT